AATTTCCTTTTTAGTAAAAATAAAAAATTTTAAATTTAAATTGATGACATATAACATAAGAGATAAGAAATGTTACTTTTTTATTATGTAATTTAAATAAAAAAAAATCCAAGAGAAACCCCTTTTCAGAGCTAGTTGATTTTTTTTTTTCCCTTTATTATGGGCCTCGGGCCTGAAATGGATCTCCAGCCCCTAAATCCTTGATCAGGACTTGGGCTCGTAAGGGGTTGGATCTGTCCAAACTCCAAGTGACATTTCTCCGTCACCTAGATGTAGCCCAGCTGCACCAGCCCACTACTGTCATACGATACTGTATCAATTCAGGAGTTACTCATAATTACCACTTCAAATATAAAAAAATATATATTGTGGTTCTGTAAATTTTATTTGTGATGTTGGGACTGGGGAATTGGGATAAGAATTCAACACTTTCTAAAAAGCCCATTAGGCCTAGAAAAGCCATAAGTCAAGCCCAATTAAAAGTCCCAGTCCAATTAGAAAAGGAGAAGCTTTATTAGGGAAGAAGTTGAGTCTCCTACCTAATAAATTACGGCAAGATTTTTTTAATTTTTATTTTTATTTTTTATGATCAAACGTGTCTCTGTACATTAATCCCAATAGGATTAGGAGACATATAGTTATTATAAACATAAATCCCAAAGGTCTAAAAAGGGATTCACTCTCTATTATGCTTTTGGAGCTATTTAGATTGAGATGGTGAATTTATTCTCTTCTACCGTAATTTTCCCCCCTTAAGGTTTTTCACGAAAATCTTGTTTCTTAGTATTTTTACGTTATTATTGCTGGCATTGCATCAACACGTAACAAGCCAACAATAGACAAAAACAAGCTAAATTTGCACAATTTCAAAGTACCTATTTTCTCTATATATTGTCTATTTATTGGAGATTCCATCTGTCAAAATATCAAACACCAACTATTTTTGCATTGTTCATATAAGTAGACCATCAACCACACCACATACAGGGTGGTGGAATAACCATAATCTTTTACAAAGAAATCCACCACCCTCTACAACCATGCTTCCCCCCAGCCTTCTCCTCCTCCTCACCACCCTCCTCCACCTCTTCATCTCTACCGCCGCGCTCGGTGTCAACTATGGAACTATCGCGGATAATCTCCCATCGCCCACCCAAGTTGCCAACTTCATCAAAACCCAAACCATTTTCGACAGCGTGAAGATCTTCGACACCAACCCGGATATCCTCCGAGCTTTTGCCAACACCGGAATCTCAATGACCGTCACCGTCGGCAATGGAGATATCCCTGCTCTTGCCAATACCCGCAACGCGCGCAGATGGGTTGCTAACAACATAAAGCCGTTTTATCCCCAAACAAATATCAAATACATTTGTGTTGGTAATGAAATTTTATTCTCTAACAATCAGGATTTGATTAACAATCTTGTCCCCGCACTGAGGAGTCTCCACAATGCTTTGGCCAAAGCTGGATTCGGGAATATCAAGGTTAGTTCATAGATGAATTGAATGTTCTAAATTTTGATATCTTTTTCTTTTTCCCTTTTTTTTAAAATAAAAATATTAAGATTTGATGCCCCAGATCTTTTAAGCTATTCTCAAAAAGCCTTTTATCTTTATTTCTTCCAATTTCACCCCAAACCTCCATATCATAATTCATAACAACAACGCTTTGGTTGTCATTTACTTTGATGAGTATTGAATAAGAGATAATTTTCTTTTTCAAACTCTCTCTTACTTTCTTTAATATCAAACTTAAAACCTTTAATATAAAAACTTAAGTTTTTAAGGAGAATATGAAATTTTTTTGTTATCAAAATTATGTCAAAATTAATAAAATTTGATCCTAATGATAAGGGGGTAATATGAGAAATTTAATCTTTTGAAAGTAATGGAAAATTCATTGCTTAATTTGAGGGAAAATCTTGAGAATTCATTTTACTAATGATCAGGTCACAACCGCTCATGCTCTCAACATATTCCAAGGAATAACCGTAATACCGAGTTTGGCCCGGTTCAGGGCCGATTATGCCCGAAGCTTTTTCTTGCCGTTACTGCAGTTTCACCGGCGAACCAAATCGCCTTTCATGATCAATCCTTATCCATACTTCACGATTTCACCGAAAACATTAAACTTCGCTATTTACAAGCTGCGCAGAGGCGTCATAGACAGACACAGCGGAAAACTGTACACGAATATGCTCGATCAGCTCCTGGACAGCACTTATTCCGCCATGAATGCGGTCGGATACGGCGACGTGGACATTGTCATTGGCGAGACGGGTTGGCCGTCACAAGGCGACCCCAGCAACGTCGCCAACATTGACAACGCAATGTCCTACAATGGGAATTTGATCAGGGAGCTTCTCGCGGGAAAGGGTACACCCCTGATGCCGAACCGCCGGTTTGAGGCATACATCTTCGCTCTGTTTAACGAGAACCAAAAACCAGGCCCGGTTGCGGAGAGGAACTGGGGATTGTTTTGGCCAAATTTCGCCCCCGTCTACAACTCCGGAGTCTTGCGCAATGGCGCCCAGGTAAGAATTTTCTTACATGTACAAGTACTGATTTTTTTGTTCTTTTACTGAAATCTTTCCCTTGATTTAGACCGTGCCTACGCCAGCGGTTCCGGCTCCGGCAACAGGAAAACAATTTTGTGTCCCAAAACAGGGCATCAGCGATGGGCAGTTGCAGTCAAACATAGATTATATTTGTGCACAGGGTGTAGATTGCTCGCCCATTAATCCTGGTGGGGGCTGCACGTACCCCAATAACATTAGGGACCGTGCCACGTTTGCCATGAATTCTTACTACCGAACCAGAGGTCAGACTTTCAATGAGTGTAATTTTGGCGGGACCGGTCAACTCACAACCGTTGATCCAAGTAAGTCAAATATAAACGTTCCAAGTATTATTCTTTTTATAACTTCTGATAATGGAGGGCTTAATTCAATTTTTAGTCTATTAACTATCACCTTGATTTCATTTTAGTCTATAAACTATGTTTTATTTCTAAGTGGTCTATTAACTTTCAGATTCATTTCAATTTCGTCTACTTTGTCAAAGATAACGGAAAACTTTCTATTCTATTAGAGAATAGTTAGTCCTCTAACTATATTTTTTTTACCTTTTAGTCCTCAAATTTATATTTATTATAAAAATAGCTTGTATATTTAAAATTATTATTTCTAGGTTCTGATACCAGATTTTTATACTTAAAATTATTATTTCTAAGTGGTTTATTAACTTTCAAGCTCTGATACCAAATTAAAGAAATGGGAAAACCCATATAAAAATCTGGTATCAGAGCTTATAAATAATAATTTTAAGTAAAAAAGTTATTTTTATAACAAATATAAATTTAAGGACTAAAAGATAAAAAAAATATAGTAAGAGGACTAACTGTTCTCTAATAGAATATGAAGTTTTCCGTTATCTTTGATCAAGTAGATGAAATTGAAATGAATATGAAAGTTAATAGACCACTTAGAAATAAAACATAGTTTCTAGACTAAAATGAAATCAAGGTGATAGTTAATAGACTAAAACTTAAATTAAGCCATAATGGAGAGATAGAACTTAAGATTAGGATTAGAAGGGTTTGTTGATTTCATTAGTTATTAAGATTTTTTTTTTTTGAACTATTTACAATGGGGACGAGTATTCGAATCTTTATAATTGAATATAAATTCATCGAGTCATAAGATGCATGAGTTATTGGTTATTAAGTTAGTAATAAGTTTTAATTTAAACTGTATTAGGTTTTACATCCGTGTTAATTTTTTTAAAAAGTTTTTTTTTATTAAAGAAATGTGGTATTTTTTTTATTTTTTTAAGATGAAACTCCTATCAATTGAGACATTTAAAGGCATAATATAGTATTATTTTGATTTTGGAAAAGGAAGACTGACGCTGTATCTTTTACCATTTGGG